TTCATTCCGTCTATTACGATTGCCGAAATTTCGCAGTAGCAAGAGCTGCCCAACCAAACACGCTGATTAATCCGTCGACAACGAATCGATGTCATCCTTCATGATTCGAGAACCTTGCTACAATGATAGATGGAGCTGCTAGTCATGTAATCTATTTGCCAAAAATACGAGCAAATATATTCTCTTTGGGTATATGTTTATCCTGACTTCGATCCAAATGAATTAACATTGCAAGAATCAGCAATCTGGCGTTTAATTCCTGAATTACTTCTTCGCTGCAAGCTTTTTTTAATTCGTCATCGGTTGGAGCATTTGACAGACAAAGAGAAGGACGAAGAAGTGAATAGTGATTTTGAGAACGAAATAGATGATGACTATGATGAGGAACAAGACAGCGAGTTAGGCACCGACCTGGATGACGAGCAAGACAATGAAAGCGACGGCTAATTCTTGAAATCAGTGCCTTTATATTCATATGACAAAAAGAGCTCACAAACGAACGTTAAATTTCGATTTACTGGGAGAATTAAGGTAGCATTTAGTATGCAAGCAAACACAGACACACAAAGCAAAAAAAAGTCATTTTGGTTATTGCAAGAGTATAGTGAGTTATTGGCACCGACAAGTTTGTCATCTGCCTGCCATTTGTATATACGAAGCAAAAAAAGCAACGGACCCTATACCTAGGAAAAAAAAGATATTCTTCCGAACTTCATTTTCAAGTGTATGTCTATTATTCGCATAAACAGAAAATGCGTTAATCTGGCATGTGCTAATTTACCATGAAAATATGGATGCAATCACGGGTGAATGCGATGAGTGGGGCATTCATCACCTTCTATGAGAAGGTGCCTAAAAGGCCGGAGAAAGATATAAAACACCTTTACATGGAGGAGAATAACTCGAACAAGAAATAATGATGATCACGATTCATTTCGTGCAACTTGTGAGTATGTGGGAAAATCGTATTCGTTACTTTCATGCAGTCAACTTGACGTCTTTTCCCGGTTGTGGAATATACTATGTAGACATGCTCATAGTTGACCTGTGCGCCATTTAGACTGAACATAATTCGGAGTGCATTCCCTTTCTTCTCTTTTTTTTTAAAAAAATACAACCTCTCTCCTTGTTTTTCAACTAGTATACAGTTTTTGCACTACGAATTATGGGATTCATGGAAGGATTCATGAATTAAGAATTGAAAGCACATCGTTGCTGTGAACGTTCTTGATTCATGATATGAGCTTACTTTTCTTTTTTTTATTTTTCCGATGTTCATTGGACACCTTGATTCATTTCTTTCTTTCTTTTTTTTAGTGTTATCACATAAAATCAGCACCTACAATCATCGCTACAAAATTCAAGGATCTATACAAAGAAGTCTAAGGCTAGAATGACTCGAGCGAGGAATAATGATAACAACGATTAATATTTCATGTTTATGAGTATTATCCTGACTGATCATAATATTGTAGCGCATCCCCTTCTATTTTTTCACTAATATATATTATTAGTTTTATTAATACAGTGATCATAAAGATCCGGGATTCAACTTTACAGGAAAAAATTTCAATTTTTATTATTTCTATGTGCCTAAAATTTCATACGTGCAGTGCCAGATAAGATTACTAACTACATGTACATATCATCTTTAATATCTAATTTTTTTCCTTTCGACCTATCATGCTCCTCACCAACCGAAGAAAGAGGTCTTCGCTCAAACCCATTCATTCCTGACGGATTAGCATTTAAAACACATCCGTAGAAAGTTTTTTTTAACCTACATAAGTTTACTACTTTCTCCACTTTCCCCTTTAGTATCGCTCACTTATCTTCGATGGGTTTTATATTGGTAAGAAGGTTTCGAAAGTGGCTTTCGATCAAAGAGTTGTCCTGTTGGAAACGAAACTACGTTCGGCACCAGAAACATAAAGAATTTTATATAGTTTAAAAATTAGTCATTCACGTGACGTATGTTGCATCGGCACAATATTCCGGATCTTTATGACGACCACTATATATTAATTGATCGGAAGGCTCTATACACCTTAGGGAATGTTATATTTCTTTTAAATTCTGTAATTAAATGGATGCGGCGTTGAAATAGAACAAATTTTTATTTTGCTGGAGAACCAATCGTTTCGCTTAATTCAATGCTAAATTCCCAAAATCAAGCGAAATTAATGAGCGTGAATATTTGCATGGTTTTATGTGATAAATCGAGTACCGTCAATCGTTTGACGTGTTTATTACATGTATATATTAAAGATAATCTTACACGTTAACAATTATTTTTAATGTATAATCATGACTAACCACATTATTTAAAACAAACATTCATTGCATAGAATTCATTGTGCATTTTTTCAAATACATTATTTAATTTGACTAGCATTAATGAACATTATGCAATCACCATATGAGGGTTATATAAAAAATCTAATTAGAACATTGTAATTGTAATTATAATTTATAGTAATACTATTTGTAATTTTTAAATTTATTTTAATAAAAAAAAATATAAAAGTATTATTAAATTTTAGTGAAAATGTGTTAAGTTGTATGTTTGAATCTGACTGGTCGGCGAGGCAACAGTATACCACTGAAAGCATTAACTGCTTTGAGCGCCATATAGCACATATAATGAGTAATAAAGTAGAGCTTTGCTTAGTTATGAATTGTGTGATATGAAAATTTGATTAACGAATGTATTTTACTTGAAATTAACTGAAAACGGAGATGTTCGAATACAATATATTCTTGGTTCCGTTATTAAAATGGCATGGGAACTTGAGAAGGCAAGAAGCAGCAAAAAGGTATATTGTAAGCAGTAGAGTAGCCTTTAGTGCTGAATTTAAGCCCTTGTTTTACAGATTTGTTAATTTTCCGTCCTTCAAAAGGGCGTGGGGTGCCAGTAGAAACGCGGTGAAAAAAGTTCTTGGATTTGTTATTACAGTGAGGGGAACTTATATCATTGCTTCATTTAGATTCTAAAAATTTCGGATGTAGTGAACTCACTATGTAACGAATACTAATTAAACTCAGAATATAGTGAATTTGAGCTCCAGACTCATTTATAATAAAATTCATTGGATATGGTAAATAGTAATATTTGACAAATTTTCACTAATGGACCTGGACCATTCATAAGCGTTGAATCATTTTATTCAGAAAACTCTCTATTAACATGTTCCACAATGAGGGCCCATGTTGAGAGAAATATGACCACAATAACTGCCCAATGCCTATGAAACTTGTGCATTTACGCAACGTTAAACTCGACACTTAATAACAATACATCTAAGGCACTTTTACAAGAATGGGACGAATTGATTTTTTTGAAACTAAAATAATAAAAAATATATTTAGTTACCAATTTCATATGTAGTTCATGTACTTACGATTATATGATTATAATTATAATTAATATTTATGATTAATAAAAATTCAATTTCGGAATTTTTTCAAAAAGGAGAATACCCAGATCATAAGGTAAAGTTAAGGTAACTAATTGTATATAAACTATTTATAATTAGATTAAAGTATAATAAAAATAAGAAATATATATAATATTAAGGATAGAATAAAGTGTATAGATTCTGAAGAGTAAAACCCATTTATCAGGTGATTTTTTTTTAAAATATATATATATATATATAAAAATTATGTCGATCAAAAAAAAAATGAACCCGAAGTGCAGATAAATTATACTTGCAATTACATTATTACATATGCATGTGTCATAATAATCCAAAATCCGATAAGATGTTCTGATAAACCACAAGATATTTTTGGAAATAAATGAAGAAAACCGGTTTGCAAGTTGTCACTTCCGAGATTCATCGAGAATACTAGAGAGATTGTGGTGGTTATCGTCCGGTGTATTAAGTATAAGGTAATCGTCTGATTGATAAAAAATCAAACGATCATAATCCAGGTTAACGCTGTTTCTCGTTCAATTTTATGAATGAAAATGATAAGATAATCTTTGATGTATTTTTGCAAGTCAAGATTTTATCTCATCTTTAAAGCAATTTACTTGCTGCTTTAACTTTGAAATCTCTTCGCGCATTAATTATAAAGATTAATAGATCAATGAATGTATCCTTTATTTGGCCAAAAACATCTAGTTTGTGACAAATGTCAACACGAGAGCTGGTACCATTATTTATAAAAATAATAATTTGATAAATGATTTCTTTTCATCAACCAGATAAACAATCAAGCATCATTTATATGTTGTTGTGCTCGATCTTTCAAGGGGACATTCAAAGAGCCAATAAAAGAATTACGATACTATATAAAAGATCCGAAGAAAGTATAAGCCTGAATTAAAGTATTTATGCATATATGCATAAAAGATTATATGCATGCATGTCCGAGCACATCTAGTTATAGTCATCTATACCCAATCCATTTTGGTTAGTCAATAAGTATGATCAACCCGACAAAACAAAATGAGAAAAATGAGAAAATTCGAAAACGGATAACATCCTATTTAAAAAAATATCAGGAAGGCAATTTTACATATGTTATCTCCAATTCAACGCCTAACCCCAATCTCAAAATCAACCTTTAACATTAAGTTTTATTGAAATATTTTTCCAAATATACTAACCATTTTATTGGGTTGATTGGTGGTGTTCCCATGCATGCCCCGTCCCGTTCCGTAAACAATAACAAACCCGTTCCTGATTTCATTTGCAAAATTTTTTTTTTTTTACAACTGTCGAGATTCAAATAAAATGATCTGATTTGATGATGAGAATTTATTTATAATTCTATATTCGTTTGTTAACATGCGGGTTTTTTATTATCATTGTCTTTTATATTACCCTTTCCAAAGAAGGAAGCTTTGAAATTTCTTTGCCACAAATCTTAATCACCGTCATCTATATAAAGACAACATTCATTTTTCCAAAAATTAGATTCTTTGACAAACAAGAAAATCCCCTTTAACACCCTTTTGTAACGATACATATTAACCAAATTTTGTAAAAATGTGTGGAATTTTCGCGGTGCACAACTACCAAGGGGATATTAGTGCGTTTCGTCGACAAGCACTATTATTATCTAAAAAGTATTTTTTTTTGTTCTTTTCTATTTGAAAACTCTTTATTGTCGAATGTCGAATGTCTAATATAATAAACATCTGAATAGACTAAGACATCGCGGTCCTGACTGGAGTGGTTGTAAAATCGTAGGCAATACCATTCTTTGTCACGAACGTTTGGCCATTGTGGGTGTTGGTATGTATCGTGTCATTTATCTTAAATGATTGTATGAATCAATTGATGATAACTCAAATTGTTTTCTTTTATAGCTAGTGGAGCTCAGCCACTCACGAATGAAAACGAGACAATCATTTTGGCTGTCAATGGAGAGATCTACAATCACAAACAATTGGAGAAACGAGTCCACGATGCTCATTTCAAGACACAATCTGATTGTGAAGTGATCCTTCATTTAGTAAGTATTTAATTCATATCAAAGTTTCTTTTATTCAACAATCGAATCTGCATTTACATGTGCATAGTACGAAAAAATCGGCATAGATGTAGTCAAACATCTCGATGGAATGTTCTCCTTCGTTCTATTCGACGCTACAAGAAATCGAATCATTGCGGCACGTGATCCGATCGGTATTACCACCCTCTACCAAGGCTGGTCATCAGAATCACCAGGAACCGTCTATTTTGCATCAGAGTTAAAAGCGCTTAACGAAGACTGTGATAAAATTATCGCGTTTCCGCCTGGTCATGTTTACGATTCGGAGTCGGGTGAGACTACCAGATATTATAATCCGCCGTGGTGGAACGCTGACGATGTGCCAACGAATCCGGTCGATTATAAAGTGTTGCGAGAAGCTTTGGAGAAGGCGGTGCGCAAACGATTGATGAGTGAAGTGCCATATGGGGTGTTGTTGAGTGGAGGCCTTGATTCGAGTTTGATTGCTTCTATTGCTGCTCGCGAGTCTGTTAAAATGGCTGCTACTCAAAATGGTTTATCGGAAGATGAGATTGATGAAAGTAAATATTAATTAAATGCAAATTTTATTAGAATAAATAATAAATAGAAAATTATTTATATTACTAATCTAATTTCGATTGAATTTTAAAGGTGCTCCTAAATTCTGGCCACGACTTCATTCATTCTCGATTGGTCTCGAAGGCGCACCTGACTTGGTCGCTGCACGTCGAGCTGCCGAATTTCTTAAAACCAAGCATCATGAATACACTTTCACCATTCAAGAAGGTCTCGATGCCGTGCACGATATTATTTACCATCTGGAAACCTATGATGTGACGACAATTAGAGCGAGTACTCCAATGTACTTGCTATCACGTAAAATCAAAGCAATGGGCGTAAAGATGGTTTTGAGTGGGGAGGGTAGTGACGAGATTTTAGGAGGTATTTACAATAATTTAGTTTATTGAATTGGTAAAATAATCACCTCCTTCGTTAACTGTTTGATTTTTGGTTTTCGAAAATAAGGGTATCTTTATTTCCACGCTGCTCCTAACGCTACCGAATTCCATAAAGAAACTGTCAACCGAGTCAAAAATCTTCACACTGCTGACTGTCTTCGAGCTAATAAGTCTACCATGGCTTGGGGTCTTGAAGCACGTGTTCCTTTCTTGGATAAAGATTTCCTCAATGTTGCCATGACCATCGATCCAGAAGAAAAAATGTACAAAGAGGGAAGAATGGAAAAAGTGAATATAATTTTGAATAAAATAATCATTCAATCTTAAATATGGGCTATTAAATAATTCTCAATTAATTATTATGATTGTAAAATAGTACATCCTCCGAAAAGCTTTCGATGTCTCCACCACCGCTGACTCTCGTCCATACCTCCCCGACAACATTCTCTGGCGTCAGAAAGAACAATTTTCCGACGGTGTCGGATACAGCTGGATCGATTCTTTAAAAGATGCCGCGGAAGCACATGTGACTGATG